GTATATAGCAAGTGCTGAATGAAAAATAATTACAATTGAAATGCAGAATTAAATGAAATTCATTTTTAATATGCCATTATGAGCCTTTGCTGCATGAGCAGTAGGCAAGATGGATATATATTAAATTGGCTCCTTTAAGTTAATGTACGAATATCCACAAGAAACCAATTCAGACACTCTCAGGGTAATTTTCTAATGCAGTTGATGGATGATCTGCATGGCTTAATATATTTATATGGGATGTTAATATTATTATGATAAGAACAAAGTGGGAAATGATTAGGAACAGAACGGCTTTAACACAAATGCACTTAGATGTATTAGACGTCTTGTTACCACTCAAAATCATCTTTGTCTAAATAACAGTGCATCTTAGAAAATATGTGCTATTAACATTTTTGTTAATTTGTTAACTGTAAATAATGCGTAATTATAATGTTATAATAAACGTGTTATTTTGGTACTAAGTTAATAAAGGCGTAAAAACAATGGTCCCACTGTAATTTTATTGAATATCCATTGCACGGCGTATTAACATTTTAGAAATGTTTTCATATATAGACAAATGTGGTACAATTTCACATCTTAAACCGCCATTTAATTAAAAAAAATTTCACTTTGTTTTAAAAATATCGATCATTACCGCTACATTTTAGTGGTCTTGACTGTGGCTCTTTGTTGATCGCGCAGTAAAGCACAAAACAATTATATTTTGCAATTAATTAAATCACTTAATACAAATTAAAGACAAAACTAAAACTGCGATTTTGAGTAACGATATACACATTTCAGTCACGCCACACGGTCATAATTCACCTTTCATCTGAAACCGCAATAGGTGATTAAATACTTAGTATCTTCCGTTACCTCTCACAACTGGCCCACAATAAAATAATCCCTTCGCCCCATAACGGATTGTTGTTTTAGGTAAATTAAATTACATCGGCTAAATCCGTCTACCAGCCGTCCGATCGCTTATTCCCAGCAGGGTCAGTCGGGAGTCCGCAACCCAAGACTGGATCAGATATCGATAATCATTTAGCTTATATAACTAAAAGTAACATTTAAGGATTGCCAAAACATAGCGCACTGTTGACATAGGTCTTAGTGCACTCGTTACATTAACAGTAACACGTGGCCGATCGCCGTGATGACGCCACTTATGCTTCCGAGTCAAATGGGACGTACGCGTTGTCTGCAACAAAGCAGCCCTGTAAATAGAAGTAACAGCGTCATTGATGTCTCTGAAACTATGCAATAAAATGTGACAGAGAAAAACTGTATAAGAAGCATTTTATACGGAGCTTATTACCGCTGGTTCACAGGTATGACCAAATACACTATATACGCTGTAAGTGTTTACAGTGTGTTGCTGATTTACCGGTCTCAGTTGCAAATGTCATGCAGGCAGTGTGGGTCCTTGACTGATTATGAAGCGATCCCAGCATTTGTAAATACATGTACAGGAAATTAAGAACTAGTTTTGAATTTAGTCGATTCTGGAGCATATGGAGAAATGGCTTCTGTTTGTTTAGGATGTTTCCTTCATCTTGTGACACGCTGGTGGCTCTACCTCCATCCACTGTCGGCCAGCGTGTTATTTTCGGAAAGAACTCGGATAGACCCTGTGACGAGGTGCAGGAGGTGCTGTATTACCCTGCAAAGGACTACAGTGCAGGAGAAAAAGTCGAGGTACTCGTTATACGAATTTGCCCAGCAGAAAGTAGATTTTATCGGCTCATCTAGTCACTTGCACCAGTAAAAACTTTAACCAAATGAAATCAGCCTGACGTAGCGCCTGATCGCTTCTCTTTGTGTTTCACTGCTCTCTATAGTGCACGTACGTTGAGATAGAGCAGGTCCCACACACCTATGCGATAGTGCTGAGTCGCCCTGCTTGGC